GGAGGTAGGACACTGCTAGTACACCCAAAGAATCATGGAATGTGAGAGTCAGGAGAGTCCTTTGAGTTCTGCCTGTAAACTCCTTTTACTTTGCAAAAGAGAATCTTGAGGCCCAGGCAGGGAAACTGACTGGTAGGTCCAAGGTCCAAGGCTGGCAGCCAGGTAGTGGCATAGGCAGGACTGGAACCCACTTGCCGAACTCCCAGTTCATCCTGCCTCCTAATCTGAGAGCTGAGGTTAATGAATGGTTGGCAATAAAAGATCAGTGCTGAGCCAGCTTGCCTATTTCCTTTCAAAACTGCTCAAAGACCTCAGGGCATAGTTTACTTTGGTTCCAGATACTTGCCTCAAATGATTCCCTCTCTAAGTATATCTATGATCAGAGTGGGCTGCCCAGTGCAGAGTGTGGGCTCTGGAGTCAGAATCATGGGGTAGAACCCCAGCTTTGCCCTTATGGAGTGATCTTGGACAAATTACTTAACTCTCGGTGCCTTAGGTTGCTCAATTATAAAAGGGAGATAATAAAGATGCCTCTGATTATATGAGACAAATATATTTAAAGCACTTAAACAACAAATACTTGATAAATCATAGTATATGTATATATTTATTTGCATGCAAATGTCTATATCCAGAATTCTGGCCTTGGATTCATATGGTCTCTATTCCTTACTGAGTTATATCAGCTCTTTTTCACAAGGATTTTTCCTCTCCCTATAACAGTTAAGAAAACTTAAGGATATGCCCGTTATAGCTCAATGAAGCTGAAAAAAAAGTAAAAAGAAAAGAAAACTGAAGGGCTTGGGGGATGTGTCTTTTGGGGGATTCTTCAGCCAGTCAGAGGCCGAGAGCAGTCTCCTGTTGTCCATGTCACTCTAGTCCCCAGGTTGCAAATTAATTCCAGATAACTCACCTTGACTTACTTCCTCCCAGGTATTAACAAAATTTTCCTTTAGCCTGTCATCAAGTCAGGCCAGGCTGACCACCTCATAGAGCAGGCCAAGCAAGTTTCCATGTCATGGTCATTGAAACCTAGAAGCGTCTTGAGCCAGCGGACCCCAATTTCTGCTCTTCCACCCCCACACACAGATGTATATATGCCAGTCCCCTGACAAATGGTAAATGGCCCTCTGGGGTAGCAGGACCTGACCTTCTGGCCCTAAGTCTCGGGTTGACTGCCTCTGTCCTGCTGGGACATTCTCTGTCCTGGGAAGGCGCTAATACAAGCTTTTTGGTCTGTAGCTCTTGCTTCCTTTTGCCACCACTTCTGTGGATGCAACCCCTTTAGGGTATTGTTCACCTTTGAGATACCATTGGAACTAAACGCGGCTTTCCCGCTACCCCTAGCAGAGGCCTCAAGCTTCTCCCTCCTGCATGGAGCCAGTTTCTTTATTACTTCCTCTGCAGTTGTCTTTTTACCTTGTTTTAAGGAAGAACCTTGTGTTTTGGTCTCTCTTGCTTTTCCCTGGTTGGCTGCTATGTGATGCTTTCTCCCCGATGGTCCACTTCTAGGGCAAGATATACAGCATTCTGCGTGAAAACCTCTCTTGGACAGCATTCCAAGTACTCCATCTACCAACCCCAGGCTCTGCTGCCTCAGAAACACAACTGGGACTCTGGCAGATTCTGAAAGAAGATAGTTGCTTCCCATTATATCTTTGGTTGCTCAGTGCATTTTCTATTTAGCTTCTCTGGTCATGTCCCATTTCAACTTCAAATGTTTCTCAAACACGCCAAACTCTTTCTCATCCCACGACCTTTATACTTGCTATTCCTTCTGCTTGGAACATACTGTCTCGACTCTCCCTTGGCTTGTCTTCCCCATGGCCGATTTCCTCATCCATCAGGTTACAGCAGCCTCAAAGAGGCTTTGTCTGACTACTCTTCCCAGTTGTTATTTACCACACTCCTTGGCTTCTTTCCTCCATAGGGTTTATTACGTTGTGCAACTATCCTGTTATTTCTTTGCTTGTCTATTGGCTGTCTCCTCCTACTCCACCCAAATGACACTCTACAAGCACCAGGACCTTGCCCATTTTATTTTCTGTGGTTTTAATTGTCCATTTTTAATTTAAATATCTTTATGTCTTTTATTGTATTCTGCCATATCTCTATTTTTTAAAAATATGATTTCTCTTGTGCCTGGGCTGCTCCCCAATATGGTTCTCCTGAGGAGTCCCTATTCAACGTGTTAATTCCCAGCCTACAAGTCAGTTCTCAGTTTACAGAGCAGTTCAAATTCTCTTGGGCAAAATTAGTGCTCCCTTCTTTGTGTTCCTATGCCACTTTGTTCATACTTCTATCCTAACACTTCTCCTACCACTTGGGAATTATTAATTTTCTAATATTAACATCTATATATATTTGTAAACTGAAGATCGTGGAAGCTATATTATGCAACTCTACACTACTGCTATTTCTGTATTGCAAATGTCTTCTCCCAGTTTGTGACTTGTCTTTTTCTTTATGCCTTTCAGTGAAGGGAAGTTCTTGAATTTAATGCAGTCCAAATTTATCAAAGTTTATACTCCCCAGAGATTATAGGATGGTTTCCTTGATTTTCTTTCAAAAGTTCTGATTTTATGTTTCCCCTTTAAAGTCTTTAATCTCCCTGGAATTGGGTTTTGTGTGTGGGTGAGTTAGGAATCTAACAGATAACTAGTTGTTCCAGCTTATACAAGGTCTGTCCAGAAAAAGTCCAGCTATTGTTAATATAATGAGAATAGTTTGCATGACATCAATGTAATCTGGCAGCCAAGGAGAGTAGACTGGAATGTGTATGCATGAACAATGACAACTTCACTATACTAGTCAGTGGGGGCTGTAGATGCCATCGAGTGAGCATTTGTACTGTGTGGTTGTTGCATTCAAAATGACTGAGAGAGTAGAGCAATGAGTCTGCACCAAATTTTGGGTTAGGCTTGAGCACTCCTCTGCAGAAACTATTCAGATAATTCAGAAGGCTTTTGGGGATGACGCAACGAGTGCAGTGCAAATAAAAGTGTGGCACAAATGCTTCAAAGATCGGCAGCTTCATCATGACAACGTGTCCACTCATGCATCACATCTTGTGGAGAGTTTTTTTGCAAAACATCAAGTCGCCCAGGTGACTCAGCCCCCTTATAGCCCAGAGTTGGCGCCCTGCGACTTCTGGCTTTCCCCAAAACAAAAATCACCTTTGAAAGGAAAGAGATTTCAGACCGTCTATGAAAATTCGGGAAAATATGACAGGCAGCTGATGGAGATTCTAACAAAGGATTTTGCAGAGTGTTTTCAACAGTAGAAGAGAAACTGGGAGAGCTGTGTGAGGTCCCAAGGTGCCTACTTTGAAGAGGACTGAGGCATGTCCTATGTACAATGTGTCTTTTATCTTCTTCAGTAAATGTCTCTATTCTTCATAGTACATGGCTGGATGGATACTTTCTGGACAGAATTTCTATACTGAGCAGCTCTCCATTGCTCCATAATGCCAGCCCTGTCAAAGCAAGATTCTAAATGTGAGTGAACCTGTTCCTGGGCTCTTTAGGCTGTTTCATCTCCCCTTTCTATCTCTATACTAATACGACATGTCTTAATTTTTATAGTTTTATAATAAATGGCTATATTTGGAAGGGCAAGTCCTTGAAACAAGAGTTACTCTTCCTCAGGGGTATTTTGGCTATGCGTTGCCCTTTGTTTTTGCACATATATTTTAGATTATCTTATGAAGGTCCAGAAAAAGTCCTGTTGGAAATTTAACTGTAATTGCATTGAATGGATAGATGAGTCCCACCCCCAATTCTGTACCTCCAGAAAGCAGCTCAAGGGATGTTTGTAGGATGAATGAACGTCTGATTAATGTCTCTAAAGTGAATCTCATGAACAAACATTCAATAGTGGTCAGTGAATGAATAAATGGGGGCCAAAGATAATTAAGATTAATCAGCACATTCTTACTATTTAGTAACTGCAAGTAAGTTGCAGATAAATTTCTTCCTCACTTCCTTTTTCTAATACCTTATTTAAAACACACAACCTATCACAGAAGATACATGAAATCTTATGTTACCCAATAAAATTACCATCTTGATTAAGCAACATATAGTGAACAATGCTTCTCCACGAATCAGAGAACAGGGCGTATGCCTTAAAACAAAGGCTGGCCTTGGCTAGGTGGTTCAGTTGGTTGGAGCATGGTCCTCTATACCAGAAGGCTGCAGGTTCTATTCCCAGTCAGGGCACCTATGTAGGTTGTGGGTTTGCTACCCAGTAAGAGTGTGTATGGGAAGCAACTGATCAATGTTTCTCTGTTACATAGATGTTTCTCTCTCTTCTCTCTCTCTCTTTCTCAAAATCAATGAAAACATATCCTTGGGTGAGGATTAAAAAAATAAAAAGGCCCGGTTTGTCATGCTTGCCATAAATGCTGACAGCCTTTTGCACATATTATAGGAACTAGCTCCTGGGAAGTAGGCTGACTCTAGCAATTGACTCCGCCAGGCTTGCTGAGTCCCAACCATAAAAACGGGGCCTCTGCTTGGTTAGTTTGTAGATAATCATTGGAATGGATTGTCTTGACTAACTCCTAGAGAACTTTCAACCCTCCCCCCGCCCCCGATCTCTTTGTTCTGCTTTCCCCCTCCCTCCTGATAAAAAACCTTGCTTGCCCCGAGATGTTAACATGGACTTGGCAGCACTTGAATAAAACGCTTCCCATCTCCCTAGCACCTGTCTCACGAGATTGGCTTTCACAGGGGCAGGCAGCTGAACCTGCATCTGGTTACGAACCCTCAACTCCATTCTCCACTAAACACTTTCCTATTTGGAAAGCCTCCTGAAAAAAAGTTTCCAGGAAGATTCCGCGTTCGCGGCCCAGGCGAAAAAGCAAGGCCATAGAATAGGTAAAGTGTCTGTGACCTGTCTGCCTCCCCAGGTTCTGCGGTTCAGTGGAACCTTGTGGTTCTTTGTCTGGCGCCCCTGAGGCTTAGGACATCAAAAGAACTACAAGTCCCAGCAGGCCGCGCGGCACTCCGGCTTAACCAAACGCAAACAGAGGGTGGAGGAGAGCGACGCTGCCTGAAAACTCCCGTTACCGGCGGCGGCGGGAGGCCCGGGGCCGAGGCTGGGTTTCCCTCAGGGTGAGTGGGGCTGCCACTTGGAGGCGGGCGCAGAGCCGGGGCCTCCAGGGTCTCACGGCCCGTGGAGCGCGGGGGAGCCAGCGTGGACGCGCCGGGCGCCTGCCCTGCTGGGGCTACTGCAGCCACCTCGGGAGCTGGGAGGAGACCCAAGCCGGTGACCTTGTCACCTGGGCTCTGGCACTAGGCTCGGGTGACTGGAAGTGCCCCGCCCCGTGTGTGGCCACTGTCCAGCCTGGCTTACCAGTGGGCTGAAGCGTGGACTGGCCGCTTCGATGGCCTAGTCTTGCAAGTAGGCAGAGCTGAGCTGGAGGAGGGCAGCAGGTGGCTCACCCAGACGTCCTCACCTCCAGGTCTGTGAGCTCCACGGCGCAGGCAGCTGGGGCAGGAGCATGGCCTGAACCAGAGCAGGGGCAACGCAGAAGCCCCGGCCCTCCAAGCTGGACGTGCGGCATATGCCGGAGCGCTCCTTATTTCCAGCACCTTACAGAGCCGTGCGCTTTCGTTTTCGGGTCACACAATGAATGAGTGCCCATGACAGACGGTGTCTGGAGAGCAGCCTATACAAGACACCTAGTACAGCTCTCTCCGTAGCTTAAGTGGCATTTACTTTGTACTGACTAGGAAGTCATCCAATTCAACGAGTATTTATTGATTACCTCCCCGATGCTTGGCACTTCGTGGGTGCTCCAGAAACATTTGCCCATTTGAAAGTGAATTAGTTTATCTGTGCCTTCACACGTTTTCTCTAAGCATTTTCTCATTGCAGTGGTTCTCAAATGGTAGCGTGCATCACACTCACCTGGAGGGCTGTTACAACACAATGCTGGACTCCATCCCCAAAGTTTCCAATTTAGTAGGTCTAAGTGGGGAGCAAGAATGTGCATCCCTTAGGAGGCAGAGATGTTGCTGGTCTGGGGACTTATTTTTGAGTGCTAGTGTTGTATAGTAAAAAAATTCTTGAACTTAAAGCTTCAATTCTTTACACCTGATTATGGGCCTTTCCGTTCTTATTTGCCGGTTTAATTTTGTAATTACAGTAAACAAATGCATGCTACTTTGCACACTTAATTCCCCCCACATTACCTTATAGGCAGATTTTCATGTAGTTTATATTTCCTGGAATACATCATATTCTACCTTATTGTGTCTATCTTGGCCATTTCTCAACAGCTCTCAGGGATGCAAGGTTTGACGTCTGCTGGGAGAGAATGCATTTCATTTCTTCCTGATATACACATTTTCTTGTCAGACAAGGGACTATAAGATAAGAACAGTGCTTGATTCCGGCATCCATTCCTTCCCTCTTCCATCCCCCTCAACTCACTGATTTACCTCCTGGGTTTGGATTTTTCATGCCAGATTTTGTCCAGTGACCCACTTCAGGGCCCCCCAAGCCACTTGCTTACCTCTACCCTGTGCCCTCTTGGTTGGGAAGACACACTTGTATTCAAGTTCAGGCTCGATCACTTACTAGCTTCCCTGTCGGGTTTCTTACCTTTTCTAAAACTCAACTTCCTTATCTGTAGAATGAGGCTCTAATAGTGTGCACCTCGGAATGTGTTGTGCAAGCTGCATGAGATGTTTAAGCACTTGACACTCTACCTTTCTTGTTGGAAGCTCACGCACTTAACCTTCTGCTGGCTCTTGGCACTTGGTTTCCCACTGTTCTCCCTGAGCCCCTCCTTCCCAGGAGAAAGGAGAATTTTTATTCCTCATTTGAGTGAGATTTATTTTCCTGTCTACTCTGGGACCTTGGCATCAGCCAGGGATTCCTTTAGTCAATATTGACTCAGCCACCTTCTGGGCATCAGAAGAGACTGGGAAGGGGAGCGTGGTTACGTTGGGACTGCATCGTTCTCTCAGGCAGGGCAGTGAGATGGTCCCTGCGCATTGACTCAGCATCTTTCCAGACTTGAGACATGATGGTACCACCCCCCTTGTTTGCTTTTTATCTACCACAGTAGCCAGGTTTCCCTGAAAGCCTGATTACTCCAGGGTATTACTGGGGCTTTTCCCGTCTTGGGAGCAGTGCTCATTTTTCTAACACTCTATCTAGGAAATGGGAGGAGGCTGCAGTCATTTTACAGGATTAAAGCAATTAGATCCCTAAGAGCCTTTCCTCTGTGGCCATTCTCACCTGTGCACCAAGCAGGACAAGGTGATTCCAGGCTTATTGTCCCGGAATGTGGCATGGGGACAGAGCTGCGAATGGATGGTAACTGAAAAGGTCTAGCCACTTACTGGCCCATGAATAAGAAGTGTTTGGTTCCCTGTTTAGTTCTGTCCAGGGAATGGATATTTTATTTGACCATCAACTTCCATTTGTAGAACTTTGCAGACTTTCCTGTTGCCTCATTTCATCACCCACTGGGGTGTTCCCCGTGGTGCAAAGAGATGGATTCCATTCTGATCATAGATTTGACACTGGCACAGCTCTCCTAAACGTTTCATGAAAAACGTTGTTTTCTAGTGAGGTGATTTGCTCTGGTGACAGGCTATTGATTTCCAGGGCTCTGAGCAGCATCTTCCACATGCTGGGCATAGTTTTGGAGCAGTAGAGGCTCAGAAATCAGTCCCTGCCTGCAGTAATTGTTGCAGTTAACCTGTGAACGGTGGTAAGAATGCTGGTGAACAGCGGTCTGTGAGTGCCTGTCAGGGAGATCACGTGCCCCAAAGAAAGCAGCCCAGGCTCTTACTCCCCATTTACTAGCCGAGTCACCTGGGGCAAGTCACACACCCTCTGTGCTCCTGGGTTTCTTCGCTTATACCTCTGGGCTGATGATAATATTTATCTCATCTCACGTGGTTGTGTGGACTATCTAATAAGATAATCAGTGCAAAGGGCTTTGGAAAGGTTAGTTACTGCTAATATTATCTAATGATTAGGTTTAGGGTCTTGGTGACATCAGAACACCCCCTTCCCTTGCCAAGTGTGTGCTAGTGTGAGATGAAACTCAGGTGAAAGTCAAAAAGGCAAGTAAACAGAAGAGGGCAGGTGATTCATTAGCAAAAGGTTTAATAATGAAAGGTGTTTTTCATGGACAGACATATTTCACGGCTGACAGGGTCTTTTAAAATACCCCGAGGGAAGCAACTCATTTGCATGTTAAAGACTCCCTGACACCTTATGGAAAACTCCAGCTCCAGTCTATTTAGACACCATTTGGCTCCTACATCATCTGTTTTATGTTTTTCAATTTCCACCTCTTTTATTACTGAGGACATTTGCATGAAAACTGGGTCCTGGGAGTTGTGTCTGCTTCCCCACCTCCCCACCCAGAGGTTGTCTCAAGGCTAGGGGTGGCCTCATTGCCTACAGGGACAAACATGGAGGATGGTGCTCTAGGAGGTGGGTTTCCTACCTGAACGACCTGAATTTTCCTGCACGTCTGTGTAAGGTTTGCACCTGCAGGTGGCTTGGCGATGCACTTCTCCTGGGTACACCCCTGCTTGGGGAGCTGCAGCTGTGGTCAAGGACATTAGTCTGATGCAGAATTCCCAGGAATTGAAGGGGAAGAAGCCCGTTGAGTGCAGCGGCCACAAAGAGCGACTGTGTAGCGATGTGGTGGACTGAGGCAGGTGGAGGTAGGCTGGGAAAAGGTATCAGGAGTCAGGAGCCCACTTGGTCCCACAGACTGTGAGTGTGGGTTTGGTTACACAGATCAAGTCAGCAGGTGGATGTTGAGGCCCTAATGGTAAAGCACCTTGCAGCACTGTGACAGTTACAGTGTTTGCACTCTAAGAGCTCACAGTCTAGACAAGGGGAAGTCAATTTTAACCAAAAATCAGCCAAACGTGGAGGTCTTACCTGGCTGCTTTTGACCAGCTGCCATTTTGGCTGTGGCCTGACCACTTCTGGCCTCATCATAGGGGGCCGATGATGCCTGTGTGCGCTTGGTGGTATAGTAAGTTACAAGTAGCGATTGTTGACCCACTCCGCTGCTTTTCCTACCTAAAACAGCCCTCCCTCCTCACGTATTCATCATCTTTCCTCTTACCCTCTTTGCTTTTCTTCTCAGCCCTTAATGCCAGTTGATACTTTAATATATTACATCTGTTGGCTTATGATCTGTCATCCCCTCTAGAGTCGAAGGGCCACGTGGGCAAGAACTTTGTCTGTTTTGTTTGCTTTGTCGCCAGTACCTAGAACAGGGCTTGGCACTGCCAAAGGAAGAATGACGTTGAAAGTTAGTTTGTGCTGGGTGCTATGCCAAGTATTTTATATACATGATCTCATTTTATCCCAATGACTTTTGAATTGGGTATGATTTCATTTTACAAATGAGGAAACAGAGGTGCAGTGAGATTAAGGAAATGACCCAAGGTCATACAATCTATTAAGTGGCAGAGCCTGGATTTGAACGCTGGTCTGCTTATGGAACTCAACTGTTCCCCTTTCTTTGCTTTCCTTCTGCAGGGCATGAGACATGGCCAGAAGGGCTCTCAAGCTCGCTTCATGGACCAGCATGGCCCTTGCTGCCTCTGGCTTCTACCTCTACAGTAACAAGTACCTGGACCCTAATGACTTTGGCGCTGTGAGGGTTGGCAGAGCAGTTGCTACGGTAGGTTTTTTTCATTTGGGCCTGGAGAGGAACTACAGTATTACATACAGGTGTTCATACATGTAGCAGATGGACATGCTGGTCACATGTATGCAGAGATAAACATGTACCCTTACATGTGCACAGCTCCTGCTACCCCGTTGCACAGGCATGACTGTATACCCTCACACACTGATTGATATTCCTGTATGCACAACCTCTGCCATCCTATAGTTAAAGAGTGGGATTGCACAGGATCTCTGCTTTATTTTTTAAAAGTAACTTATTTATTTTTAGAGAGGGGGAAGGGAAGGAGAAAGAGAGGGAGAGAAACAATGATGTGTGAGAGAAACTTCAATCTGTTCCCCTTGCATGCCCCCAGCTGGGGACCTGGCCCGCAACCCAGGCATGTGCCCTGACCAGGAATTGAACTGGCGATCTTTAGGTTTATGTTTCAACACCCAACCCGCTGAGCTACACCAGTCAGAGCTGGATCTCTGCTGTAAAGGCTTTACATTTTAAACTCCATATCTTATTTTAGTCACAGATTCAGAGGTTGGTGCTCCTCAGCAAATGCCTGGAAAGAAGGCTTTGCTATTTTGATTAAATTCTATCAGAAAAGTTGGCATCTCTCTCTCTCTCTCTCTCCCTCCCTCCCTCCTTCTCCCCCCTCTTCCTCTCTCTCGCTCTCCCCTAATCAGCTAGTGTGAATGGTTCCTGTTTTGGGGCTCATACCCTTAGCATCTAGGCCTTGGAGGACTTTGGGGATCCCTCCAATCCCCAAACTGACAGAGTATATGAGTTGACTATGTGACCATTGATGATTTTCTCCAGTGGCTCAGGCACATCATTCTGGTGTGATCATGTCCTCTGCGGAAAGCAGCTTTCCCTGATGGGCCTATCACATTGTCCCCTTTGCTTGTGGGTAGATCACTACATGCTTCATTCCTTCTTTCCTCCTCTCTGTGCTGCAAGATGAACTCATCCTTTCTTCCCCCTGGTGAAGTACATTCTGATGCACAGTCTGTCCAGGTTGTCATCCAGCCATTTCCTTACTACTTGGTGTTGTCAAGTCTTCTCCCTGGCCTGGGGGCAACTGTGGTGCCTGCCCTCTAGAGAGTGCTAAGTCAGAGAGTCAAGACAGACAGTAGATAAGCAGGCCATGGACGATGAAACGATTTCCATGTTTCCTGAGTGCCTTTTTTTTTTGGTCTAGCATCGTCTTACATGCTTTGAGGAGTAAAAACAAACTGTTCCACCTAGACAAAGCTTTGAAGGAGCTTCTGGTTGAGAAGTGCTCATGTGAATGGGCCGAAAAACAATCTAAAGCTATGTACGGGCTCGAGATGGGTGACTGAGATGACCACTATTGTGGGACCTCAGACACAGGAGTGAGCCCTTGGGCTGGGAGTCAGGATGAATGCCCAAGGGGAAGCAGGGTTTAATGGAACCTTAGGGATTTGAATAGTTGGAAAAAGGAGTCGAAGATTTTTACTAGTGCTTTATGAATTAGCCACTAAGCTGTGCATTCTTTGAAGGACAGGGTTCTGGACTTGACCATCCTCTTGCACTGCTTAGTGGCCATCTTGCTCATGGTTGGTGTTCACCAAGTACATGCCAAATGAAATAAAGCTTTTGAGGTGCAAAGGAACAAACTCCTCTCAATATCTGTTTTGTAAGACCCTTACTTTCTAGGATCCTCAGTTGTTCAGTTCCAAAAGGGAAGGTTTGGGCTAGGCAATCCCCACAGTTCCTCCATGCCTGAGATATCTAGGAGTGTGTAATCTGATTCACTAGGCGTTTTGGCCAGGGGACCAAGGATAAAAATTTGTGCTATGAGAGCAAACATAAATATAAAATGATGTTTATTTGTGATACAGAGAAGCAGGATAAGTTCATGCAAAAGCCCTCATTCAGCCCGCATTTACTGATAGGAGGATGAAGAAACAGGAAGGACAAGCACCTGTGCCTATATAGCTGAAATTCTAGCAAAGGGGAGAGAAGCCATATACAAGAAAACAAATGAGTAAGGTAATCTTTGATGGTAGTTTGTCATGATAGACAATTGAGAATTCCTGATGGGTGGGGCAACTTTAGATTGGAACTCTGCAGAAGTAGCATTTATGCAGAGCTCTGATTGACAGGAAGAAGCCAGCCAGGCTAAGAGCTGGGAGCAGAGCGTCTTAGAAGTGGGACTGTCTATTCCTCCAGGTGTGCCTACCTATGCCAGGGGCCTGCACCTTCAGTTCTTTGGCAGAGCAGTGAGACTTGATGTCTGGGCACTAAGTTTTCCCCTTCCTTGGTTCACAGACAGCTGTCATCAGTTACGACTATCTCACCTCCTTGAGGAGTGTCCCCTATGGTTCAGAGGAGTACTTACAGCTTCAGTCCGAGGTAAGAGACCCATGGGACCCATCTGAGCCAGGCCAGGACTGAGTGAGCCCTGAAGTCACTGCAAAGCCAGCACACTTCCCATGTGCAGCTGGAGGTGGGCCGGGGACAGTGTGGGGATTGAGGATGGGGGCTGGGGAGGAAGGAGGAAAGGACCACCTCGTTGGAGGAGCTTTAATGCCCGTGGGCTGCCAGGCTGACATCAAGCTGGCTCCTGTGGTACCCAGGCTGTGAACTACAAGGTGCCGACAGGGAGCCTGGTGTGTGTTTCTGGGGAGCGCCAGTTTCTGGGATGACTCAGGAGGGATGAAGGCTCTGTTCCTGAGATAACTCAGCTGGCGTCCAAACTGCTTTGTCAGGCAGAACCCAATTGGAAGAGGTTAATTGCTTTTCTGTCCCCTGAAGGCTGCACTGGGGCCTCTGGTAGGCCTCTGAGTGGAGCTGTTGACCCCACACGCTCTGTCCTCACGTAGAATAGGGGAGCTGATTTTGATGCTGTGACTAGATATCCCAGAGAGTTAGGGCATCAAGCAGGAGGGCATTTTTTGTTGATGCAAGTCAAGTTTGAGGTCAAATGTAGATACTTTTGGTTCCTCCAGAGAGAGGTTTGTGATGGATTTTTGTGTCTTTGCTCAGCCTGGAATGCCCTTTGCTCCTTAGAAAAGTCCAAGTCATCCTTCCAGACTCAGCTCAAACACCTCCCCTCTTCAATCATCTTTGGTGGATGGAATAATTAATTTTTTAAATTTTATTTAAACTTTTCATTATGGAAATTTTAGCCACCCATAGGAATAGAGAGAATAGTAGAATGAACCCCTACAGAACTGTTAGCCAGCTTCAGAAATTACCAATATTTTGCCAATCTTGTCTTATCTACTCCCCCCTTTATTTATTTATTCCTTTGTGTATTTTCATTTATTTATTATTATTTGATTAACTATTTAAAAGCAAATTTCAGGCTTTGTGTTATTTCATGTGTAAGTACCTTTGTATGTGTATCTAATAGATGAGGACCTTTAAAAAAATTAACGATAATACCAGGATCATACCTAACAAAATTAATAATAATTCCTTAGTAACTTCTAATAGTTAGTCCACATTTAAGTTTTCCTTGTTGTCCAAAAATGTATTTTATACGTTGGTTTGTTCAAATATGGATCCAAACAAGGTACATGCAGGATCTGGCAGAAGTAAGTCCTGCTTGAGTGTGGTTGGTAGGGTAATAATATGGATGTAATAATTTAGTTTTAATTTGAACATTTCACCTAAAATGTCATATGGTGTGCTTGAGTGTGATATTGTTATGTTACAGAATTACATGCTTATGATTTTATAATAAAATTTTTTATAGTAAAAAGGGGCATTATTTGTGCTGGACCCTGTATGTTGCGTTTGGTTGATGTTTCCTAGATCTTTTCCCCTCCCTCTTTTTTTTTTCTTTTTGGAGCAATTTGCTTCTTGAAGCAACCAGATCATTTATCCTATAGAATTTTCCACATTTAGGATTTGGGTGATTGCATCTTCAAAATGTCATTTAATGGGAAATGGATTTATGTGGTACACAATTCAAAATGTGTAATATTTGAACATACAAAATGATTCTCCTATTCCTGTTCCTCAGGTACCCAATTTTTCTGCCTTAGGTGGTCATTATTTCCTGTGTGTTATTTCAGAGATAGATTCCTACTTGAATTTAATCACCCTATCTTATTTATTCCTGCCACAAATGATAGTTGCTTATCTGTTTTTCTCTTTAGATTATAGATTCTGTTTGACCAGAGATTAGGTCTTTCCTTTTTATATCTTCTGCCTCTAGTGATGATGCCTAGGACTGAGATGATTTAGTGTCTGTTTCAGTGCTCTGCTAGCTCCTTGCCTTGGGTGATGCCCCAGAAAGAGAGTAAGGTTTGGAATTAATAGACCTGAGTTTGTGCCTCAGCTTTAGGGAGGTCATTTAACCTTTTGAAGCTTCCATTTTCTTTGTCTGTAGGCTATAAATGGTTATACCTCTTACTAAGGATTATTTTGTGAAATGTACATGTAAACCAAGTATCAAAAGTAAGATATCTACTAAAAGGTGTGTTCCATGAGCACAGGGAGTTGGTCAGTGTTGGGTATCTCCATGTCGGAAACACTGCCAACAGTACCCAGGTTTGTTGAATGAATGAAAGAAAGAAAGAAAGAAGAAAGAAAGAAAGGAAGAAAGAAAGAAAGAAAGAAAGAAAGAAATTTTAGTTTGTATTGGAAGATCTCAAAGTCTGTGAGATTTAATGCCTCCCTGCTTTTCTCTGCCCTCCTTTGCCCATCTAAATAGTGCTACAGGCCTTGGAACCCACCAGAGCGACATTCTGCAGAGAGGTCCAGGCCAGAGCATAGGGGCAGAGCAGGCAGAGGGACGGGTGCTTCGGAGACAGTCATGCTTTGTGCGTAAGTCATCTGAAAGGCAGTGGCACTGCAGCTCCTGGAGGAGTTGACCGCTTTGGGGGATGAGTAAGGAAAGTGCAGCCTGGCATTTGACAAGAGGGCAGCACGCGGTGGTTGGCATCAGATGACAGGCTGGTCCCGGAGCTGTGCCTTGGAAGGAGGAGCTAGCTGGCACTAAAGAGAATAAGTAAATACTGCAGGAGTGTGTTTTTCCATCGGAACGCTATCTGTTAAGATCCAGGTGATAAAGGAATGAGTGAAGGTTAAAACATAATTACCTTACCTGTCAAGCCAGTGTCCCCGGGTCCCAGAGTATGCCAGAGCCAGGAGACAAGCTTGGCAGGCAGCAACTTCGAGAAGCACAGTCAAGGTTGGATCCCAGCTGGCTTGCATCTCAGTGACTCAGCTCCACATCGGGAGGGGGTGGGAGCTGACGTGGAGGAGTGTTTTCTGGGGGTGCAGTGGCACTTTGCTGGGCAGCTGAGGGTGTGGGGCGGGGCCCAGGTGCTTTGGAGAATGAGATCCCTGATGCTCAGGGTGCTTATAAACAGACAACATGTGTGAACTGGTCTCTCCACAGGCAGAAAGAAGTCATGGCTGATGCAGACATTCATTCAGTGGGTTGGAGGATGCAGGACTGAGTTTATTCTGACCGAGGGGTTAGGGTATGGTGGACATTTGTTAATTCTACAGCTCAGGAACCATTCTTATTGGGAAGCAGCATTCAGACTTTCTTTTGGGGAACCACTCATATCTCACTCCACCCTCAGCTCCAAGGGCGGGCGTATGACTCATTTAGGCCCATTCCTCTGGCCCAAGAGATTGATTCAGGGAAGACACCTTTGCCAGGATGGTCAGTGAACACCAGCTCCAGGACTTCTGGGCGTGTCCCCTACAGGACACTGTCTTTTCTGCTGGTTTAGCTGAGGGTATAGGATGTTGGTTTAGGGCTGCTGGCAGCCATCTTGTCACCCTGAGGGGAAAGCCCATCTGTGAATGGAGCCAGTGTTGTGGAGAGATATGTCCTTTGAGTCCCTAGATCTAGCCAAGCCTGAAGCTAGACTAATACTAGACTTTTCAGTTGTATGTGTCAGGAAATTCTCTTTTTGCTTGAGATGGTTTGAGTTTAGTTTTCTATTACGTACAACCAGATGCATCCTGATCCACTGGGGGATCTTGGAGAAGCAAGCTGGGTCTTGAAGCACAATCAGGGTATTGAAAAATCACAGAAGAACTGGTAACTCAAAGGAATAAATGAAATTCAGACATTCCAAGGCCTGAACAGGGTGAGGAGAGGTATGGATGGCGCTGGGAAGAATTCGGGCCATTTTGGACCTAGATGGAATTTGAACCATTTTGGGCCTAGATACAATTGGAGCCACTTTGGACTTGAGTAGAATTTGAGCCATTTAGATGGTGCTGGGTACCAGCTGACATCAGATGACAGGCTGGTCCCGGAGCCTGGTCCACCACAAAGCACTTCTGCCTCCCTGCTATAAAGTGGTGGCAGTGGCCTTTGCCCCAGCTGAGTTTGTAAGAACAGAGATGAGAAGCTTTACTTAAGTAAACACTGTGGCTTATTTAATTCAGCCACAGAGGCAACTCAGAAGCATAGGGTTTGCCTTGTTGCCTTCTTATAATTTTAATGAAGACATTAATGATTTCTATTTTCCTTATTTCTACATTTACTAATTGGAATTCTTCTAGAAGGGAGAGGCGTCCCTTTTCCTTCAGTTCTTTATTAAGTTATTTTTACCATGATGAACTCATAGATATTTATTTTATTCTATGAGTTACAATGCAGAACTATTATTATTAATATTATTGCTCAAATTTTTCAAACTTTGGCCATTGGGAGCTCCTTCAGGTTGTTTCCTGCGTCTTTTTGATGTGCCCCATCATTTTTTGAACATTCTTAACTTCTTAGTACCACAAGATGCCCCAGGCTTTTCTTATATTTTCCTTGCCCCAGCCTTGTAATCAATCACTTCTCCTTTTATTGGAGAATGATATTTAGAAACCAAGATGTGGATCCATATTGTTTTTGGAGTATTATTGTTTCTAGGCTCTTGCAAGAGACAGAGCTGGGGGGTGGGGAATATATATATATTCATGCATACACGCATCTGTTTGTCCATCCATCCATCCACCCACCCACTTACCCATCCATCCATGCATCCCTTAAAAACCATGAGTTCATACTGATGTCTTCAATTTCAGTCTAACATCACAGAGTTCATTTAGCTCTGTCACTTTAAGAAATATGTAACTTATTTCTCTGACGGTGAGAGACCTGCGTCTTAATATCTACAATATATTAACTTATTTGTTCAACCCTTCTATATCCCAGTGTAGTTAAGACCCCCAAGGCATGCAGAGGCAGGGACAGTGGCCTAAGATGGGTGCAGTTGAATTAAGTAAGGGGTTTTTGAGCTGGGTTTGGAAAGGTGGGTATAACTGAAAGCTGCAGCACTGGGGACAAGATGATTTTGGTTGATGGGTAAAATTTTGGAGAAAGAAACAGAGATTAATTTAGTGTCTGAAGACTAGAGGAAGGGTGAGTGAAGAGACACACTGGC